GTGTGTGTGTGTGTGTGTGTGTGTGTGTGTGTGTGTCGGTGCAGAGGTTCTGTCCACAGGCTGATCTGTGTGTTAAACGTGCACAGTGTGCACGGTGGAGGGTGACACGCAGTCCTGGTGTCATTAATGATGACCTCATCCCTCCTCCAGACGTGTTTGTTGCGAGCTGATGGACGTGTCTCCTCTCAGATCAATAACGGAGGATTTTCCTTCAGTCCGGACCGACTCTCCTCGTCTTTCTTCGTCTCATCGGAGCTTTCAGCCTGAATCCTGCAGATCAGCCGAAGCTTCTGTCAGCGCAGCTCCTCCGAGTGATTTTTATCCTCTGACATGTCTGATGTTTGGAGTCAGTCCTGCTCTGATCTGTGACAGCCGAAACRTTTGTTTAGAAGCAGGAAGAAAGACAGGCTCAGTCTTTAGCTTTATGTATTTTAGATGATATTTGAAGAGTTTGTCTCAAACTATCGGCTGATTTCAGACYGACTGAAAACTGAATCCTTTCTGCAGACCTCTGAAGGAATGTACAGTCATTTGATAAAAACTGTGTAAACATAGTTAATTAGTTTAAAGCAATAAATAATATAGCTAAAAGGAACACAAGTAGCTAAAAGCTAAAACCTGCCAAACTGTAGCTAAAAACTAAAGCTAAGAGCTTTAATTAGCAACAGTGGCTAAAAGGTTGAGCTTGACAGCTAAAAGTGAAATAAGTTTGCTCAAGCAGAGTTCAGTTTTTATTTTAATACATTTTTCTGAGTCATTATGTAAAATAAATTTATTATTGTTGTTGTTGTTGTTGTTGTTGTTGTTGTTGTTGTTGTTGTTGTTGTTGTTGTTGTTATTATTATTATATAAATAATATAAATAAATCCAATAAAATAAAAGTTACAGAAACCTAAAGTCATTCAGAACGAGCTGAATGAATGAACTGTAGAAGAAATAAAAAACAGGAAACAGTTCATGATTTCCTGGATAAATCTTAATTTCTAAATAAAATATTTGGTTGAAAACAGTTTGTTTTTTTATGGAAACTGAAAACGCTGAGTGTTAGAAACAGCTGAGCTACAGCTGAAACATCTCTGTGTTTAATAAAGCTGAGGTTTAAACCTCTCAGCTTCTTCAGGACATTTCATTGAGTGTATTTTCCTTCCTGCTCCTSTGTTCAGAGGAGTAATTTGAGTTAATCTGATTGGATGAAGCTGCTGATGAGTCCCTTTGATTGGCTGCTCACTTGGATCACTGATTGAGTTTCTCCTTTCTGCTCGGCAGATCAAGAACCCCGACGTTCCTCCCATCGATCGCCTCCCTCTGTGTTCAGATCCGCGGAACAATCCATCAGGGACACATCAGCCCCGTGACCCGGACCGGATCACTTCCAGTCCACCAGCAGAASTAATCCCACCCTGCAGATCCATGGGCCTGGCTCCACCGTAAGTTTATTCTTTTAGTGGGAAAGAACAGGAAGTAATAAACATTCAGCTGCTGAACTCAGGATCCTGTAACTTACAGTGTTTATACACAGATAAAACCTGTTAGAATATGGAGCTGAGACCTACTGAATGACAACTTAAATTACTGGTAAATCACTGCTGAATGACTGAATGATTTAAAACTAAGTGATTGAAGCTAGCAAACAGCTAGCTATAAGGTAAAATGACAGAACATTGGGTAAAAGCTAAAAGTAGGGAAAGGCTAGATCAGAGCTGAAATTAGTGTAATGATAGCTAAAAGGTAAAATCAGTATAAAATCAGTATAATAAGTTTTTGTTGGATGTATAAAATGTGTTTTTGTGGTAAAATGTTTATAAATAAAGTTAATTAAAAGTTACAAAAACTTAAAGTCACAGCAGCCATCTGCTGAATGAGCCAAACGTTTTAATAGATGAACAGCTAAAAAAGTCAAAGTGTGAGTGCTGACTCAGCATCTATGCTGCAGGACCCAACATTCATTGAAGAAGTGCATTTCACCCTCCACCTGCTAATCTAAAGCTTCACAGTTTTAGATTTATCTGATGGTGTCAGAGTTTGTGCTGTMGATGACTCTCAGCTACTACCAAACTTTGTTTTAGCTAATGTCAGTTAGCAGTGGCGGCCATCTTGACTATGTTTAATCTGTTGTACATTGTCTCAGGGCACTGTAGATAAAAAGAACAATGTAAAGAAGAAAGCAGCAGATTGTGTTGAATCACTTCATCACAGTCTCCCATCCTGAGCAAACGGTGGAGAGGAAAAACTCCCTGCTAATCAGGAAGAAAGCTCCAGCAGAACCAGGCTCAGGACTGATTACTTTGAGACCGTTTGATTGAAATAAATCCAGTGCTTCATGAGATATTTTGCTAACAGACARCGTGTCGCTGCAGCTGTTTGAATGTTTGCTGGCCGTGGCCTCGGTGTTGCAGCACAGGTTTCCTGCTGAACGTGTTTAACGTTGGAGGACAGAGGTCGATGCGGCGCGTGTAAACTCAACCCTCCTCAGCTTCAGTTGGCAGCAGAATGTAAATGAGGCGGAGCTTTGATGTGGCGGTGAGGAGGCCTGAGGAGGTCTACATCAAAGGCTGCAGGGCACATCTGTGGAGACGAGCTGGAGGTCACCTGCAGAACCTCTTCTGTGGGTCAGAACCAATGAAACCAGAGAACAGCTGCAGAGATTAGAGAAGAGGATGACTCTCTGCTACTACCAGGCTTCAGTCGGACCATCACAAACCCAACTGYCCAGTGGTGCTGTGATAAACTAAGTCAGGCTTTAATCAGACACTAAGTCCTGATCCAGAACCAGCCAGGCTCCCTGTGGTTTACAGGCTGAGTTCATTAGAATAATAAATGCTCTGTGGGATTAAACGTGTTCYTTCGGCTCAGTGCAGAGAGCAGCAGCCGAAGTGATTAACTGGATATTAGCTGCTTTTCCATTAGCATCAGGGTTTGTGTGTCTCGGCTGATTCTGCTGCAGGTTCTGTTTGGTTTCATGAATCTCTTCAGAGAGTAGAGGAGAGAAAACATGTCAGATCGTAGATATTCTTCAGAACGAACAGAAAGAACTGTTCTTTGGTTCTCATCTTCAGGTTTCAGGTTCTGAATCTATGATCGGTTTTAGTTTTGCTTCTGTCTTAGGAAGTCAACAGTTCTGTTCTGGTGTTGGTTCTGAAAGAGGTGGAACCTCCTCTATGCAGATAGAACAGCGGGTTTAGAACCAACCAAATGCACCAACTGAATGGTCCGACCGAACGGACCGACCGAACAGACCTACCAAACAGTCTGAACAAACAGACCAACCAAACCAACCGACCAACCAAAAGGACAGACTGAATGGTCTGACTGAACAGACTGACCGAACAGACCTACCAAACAGTCTAACCAAACCGACTGACCAAACTGACCAACCAAATGGTCTGAACAAATGGACCCACCAAACAAACTGACCAAACCAACCGACCAAACTGACCAACTAAAACGACCGACCAAAAGGACTGACCAAACGGTCCGACTAAACCGACCGACCAAACGGTCCGATCAAATGGACTGACCAAACTGACCGACCAAACCGACTGATCGACCAAAAGGACCGACCAAGCTGACAAACTAAAAGGACAGATCAAACTGACCGATCAAACTGACCGAACAAACTGACTGACAAAACTGACCAACCAAACGGTCTGAACAAATGGACCCACCAAACAAACTGACCAAACCAACCGACCAAACTGACCAATTAAAAGGACTGACCAAACGGTCCGATTGAATGGACTGACCAAACTGACCAACTTAGAGGACAGATCAAACTGACCGATCAAACTGACCGAACAAACTGACTGACAAAACTGACCAACCAAACGGTCTGAACAAATGGACCCACCAAACAAACTGACCAAACCAACCAACCAACCAAAAGGACCGACTGAACAGAACTACCAAATGGTCTGACCAAACCAACTGACCAAACTGACCAACTAAAAGGACCGACCAAAAGGACTGACCAAACGGTCCGACCAAACCGACCGACCAAACGGTCCGATCAAATGGACTGACCAAACTGACCGACCAAACCGACTGATCGACCAAAAGGACCGACCAAGCTGACARACTAAAAGGACAGATCAAACTGACCGATCAAACTGACCGAACAAACTGACTGACAAAACTGACCAACCAAACGGTCTGAACAAATGGACCCACCAAACAAACTGACCAAACCAACTGACCAAACTGACCAATTAAAAGGACCGACCAAAAGGACTGACCAAACGGTCCGATCGAATGGACTGACCAAACTGACCAACTTAAAGGACAGATCAAACTGACCGAACAAACTGACCGAACAAACTAACCGACAAAACAGACCAACCAAAAGGACAGATCAAACTGACCGACTAACAGGACCGACCAAACTGACCGATCAAATGGTCTGACCAAACGGACCGAACAAGCTAACTGACCGACCAAAAGAACAGATCAAACTGACCGATCAAATGACCGAACAAACTGACTGACAAAACTGACCAACCAAACGGTCCAACCAAACTGGCTGATCAAACCAACCGACCAAAGCGACTACCCAAATGGTCTGACAAACAGACAAAACAAATGGACCTACCAAATGGACTGTCAGTCTGATCAAATAGACCAACCAAACTGATCGACCAAACGAACAAAAGGAGTGGACCARCCAAAGGGGCAGTCGGTCCGACCAAACGGACCTACCTGTCCTTTGTGTAAAGTCTTTAACAACAGGCAGCCCCAGCTTCACACCTGCCATCAGCTCAGAGGAGGTCTGCAGCTGCAGCTCATCATGGTGTGTGTTTCACCTGTCATCATGTTTAGTCTCACCTGGACCTGTAAACAGATTCTGGCCCGGCCCGGCCCGGCCCGGTCCGGACTGTGGCTTTTTGTGTGTGTGGCCTTGGAGTGTGTCAGTGTCCTCCATCTGTTTCCAGGAATCCTTCCTGAACCTGCTGAGCCCAGCAGACCACACACACACACACACACACACACACACACACACACACACACACACACACACA